GGGAGGTTTGTTAGTAATATCTACAAGGCGTCAACAACACGAGAATAAAAATAAAAAACAAAATACAACTAATTTCGCGCAACAAACAATGACGTGCACACGTGTAGTTACAGATATTATAGTGGCTGTGAATTTCATTCTCAGTACTAAATTATAAATGGGTTTGTCACGGACACCGGTATGGTTCAAGCTTGTGGGTTTCAAATCCAGAATCAACTAAAGTAAACCGTATTAAAATTCAGACAATTAGAAATTCAAATAAATGCCATGATTTCACGGATTTCATGGATTTGAGTTTCAAGATTGGGAAGAACATGAGAAGAGAGAGCATAACGTCACTACGGCAACTCATTGCCAAACCCGGTCCAAACTCATACAGTCTCTCGTCCAGCAGAGAACAGTTTTCACTTGCTTATGGAGCATATTGCGGCAACGAGGGTCACTTTGCAGATCGTGCGTAGAAGTGGGGGTGGATCAGGTCTACGAACAGGAGAAGGGGGACTCGCTGAAGCTGAAGTGGTGTACTGATAGAAGGAGAGCTACCTTTTTGAAAGTGGCCGTCGTTACAGATGATCTACTTGTTCGGGTTTAAACAAAAAGTTGGAACGCTTCGGGAAACACACACACACAGGAGGAATCTTATCGTGATAAAAGGTAAGATAGTGAGATTGTAGGATTTGAGGATCTGACGGTGTAGAGTACGAAGATCGCTGCCTTCTGGGTTGTAGGGCCGTGTAGCCTCGTACAGGTGTACCGACGTTTCGGAGTCGGTAAACTACCAGACTATGCGGAGCTAGAACCCAGAGGGCAGCCGTCTTAATAATATGATTGTTGATTACTTAGAATGTCACGTTAGCATCTCGAAGACAAAGGTTTAGCACACAAGAAGACAGAAGACAAACTTCTACTGCAGTGATTTATGTGAATAGACTGTGACCAGATATAAATGCATAACGTGAATTCCTATTACATTCCTTATTGGTTCAAATTTCAGTTTTCACTCGGTGGTATTAGGGACTTAAGTGACGCCCTGTTGTTACCGAAACAGTGTCATGGAAGAAGCTTCTGCAATTCGAGTGTTCTACTTTGATTGAGTAATGGAGTGAAATGGTAAAGTCTTCGGGGAATACAAGCCACTATTCTCGTGAGTGTTTCTTAGTCGACTACTATCTGCGGTCCCTCTAAGAGGCGAAACCTAATGAACATATTTTTAATAAATTTTGTGATACTGGGTATCTACATAAGACTTTCATGTTGTTCCCCATCGATCAAATATAAAACTAATTTATATTAAGATCAAATTCAACCTCAAGAACTGACTAACAATGGATCATCGTTAAAACGTTGGGACGTCCATCGGTCAAATATAACACTAATTTATATTAAGATCAAATTCAGCCTCAAGAACTGACTAAAAATGGATCATCGTTAAAACGTTGGGACGCACTGAAGTTAACTAGGCTAATATATCTCGTTATGATAAAGGCCTACAACTTTTATTTGAAAAACATCCTTAGATGTGGTTAATATTTTACGAAATAAAACAGAACAATCTGTAACTGAGCAGTCACATATATGGAGCCTGATTACATTTGCACCACCAGATCTGCATATGTAACAGACAATAAAGACTAGTGAGAAAGGCTTATGTAAACCAGTAAGAAACGCGTTTCTAATTTATATGTACTCCAATGGAGGGCACGTATCCGTGTTACGGATAAGGAGATCATGCAGAGTATCTGCCCCCATTTTAAGGTAATACTGTATTACAGAAAGGTGCGTATTAAACCCTACATGTGGAAGTTAATAACGAGTAATGAAGTCATCTGATCTTACTCTGCGGCTAATTTTCCGAATGGAGGACAGTGGACTGAATGGATTTGAGTAGAATCATTTCGCAATATTAACAGACATTCCGCCAGTATATGAACCAAATCCGTCATATATCATGGTCATTCAGTGTCGAAGGTTAACAAACATAATCAAGGCGTGGCAAATAAAACTTAATACCATTCACGGTTCAACCTTGATTTGTTTTTTATTCGTTCCTTATTAGCGGGTTTCACTGGCGTGCGATCCGGTCTGTTGTAATGGAAGCTAACGGTACAACCAGGTGATGCTGTAATCAGATATTAAATGTCTTCACTTTTAACAGACCTAATACAACGTCAGTAGTCTATAACTTGATATCCAAGGGCCAATGTTGGACAGTGACCGCTTATGCCATATACAGTGTGAAAATTAATTTGATTTAATGTGGAATGCCCTGTCCAACTAATGCAATTAAAACATCGATAAGAGACACTCTGATAACGACGCGATTGAACTATCGCTGAATGACAATAAACGACCAATCAACGACCTGCCAAACTGATGCTCCACATTGATAAATTTCGACAGAAATACACCTCATTATCATGTAATGACATCAAGTTCTATTCAAGGGCCACTCTAATGCGGTTAGATAATGCTCAATCAAGGAGCTCCAGGGTACGCGCATCCTGAAAAAATCATTCACTCCAAGGCCGGATTCACAATGACACAGCTACAGCGTTAGATTATTTTTGTAGACCAACATCCAAGTCACATATAACAAATATTAAAATCGGATAGCAAGTCAGAATATATATTGAAAAATAAAAAGATCGATCCAGAATTTTAAGGTACTACCGGACAAACATCTCAAAATGGCCTTTCCTAGTTCGACATGAAGACGAATAATTCGAACTTCATGCGTCTTTAGTCGTTAAAATTCAGCCCCATGCTATATATATACGATTTATTAAGCTTGTGTAGCAGTGTATCTCAAATAGTGGTCAGCAGACGGCTACCGGTATGTTAATTATAGTTACCATTTGACTTTACCACAACTGGACACTTTACTTCAGAATCGGCGACGTTCGCGATTTAACGACCATGTGGTTCGTGGTGTGCGTAACCATTTCCCTGCTCCTGCTTCGTTTTCTGGACGTTTGTGACCAGCCGTTCGGTAAGCACGCAGCTTACAACAGGACTAGCAAGGCGGAGGCGCTTGTTACAAATTCCGGGTGTAACAACTTAAATTATAACACACGTACATAACGTCTAATTATGAATGTTCAAGGTACGTGATTATAATGTCTCTTTGATTTCAATGCCATATAAATGTTTTAACTTTCTTGTTGCACAAATATGTTTAGACTTGATTTTAATAACGAAGTTAGACTCTGTCTCCACTGCAAAATATATGACAGAGCGTATCGCCGATCACTGGAAAATTTAATGGTGATTTACCAACCCGTGGTCAGAGAAAGCTGAGAACTGCTGTAGAGGAATCCAGTGTTTTAATTTCATTCAAGGACCCTCTAAAGGAGCTCAGCTGCAGGGCATTACTATATCACGAACTAAAAACAAGAAGACATAGAGACCAGTAAGTTGGATTACAAATTTTGATAATCAGCACGTATTAAAGTAACGCTAAAAGTGGGCCAGTGCAGCTATGGACATTCGCTGGGACTTAAACACACTGCAGTCGTATTATGACTGAAACAGCCTGTAATATCGCACGGACGGGGTTCTGTAATGCGAACAGGTTTCCGTAATTGATACTTGGGCATGTGATTGGGATATCCTTTTTAAATCGTGACTTTCTTGTCTTGATGCGTCTATAGATAACTGTTCTCAAGGCATGCAATTCATCACAACTGTCCTTTCACATTGCCCCATGCATGCGCACGCAACACTGGTCACGCCACGGTGGTCTAGCGGTTAGAACGCTGGCCTTGTAATCCTGGGGTCTCGGGTTCGATTCCCGGCGGTACCCGAATTTATAACTTGTGTTGGGGAAGGCCGTGGTCTAGGCAACACGGAGTTTTCCTCCGGGGGCTTCCCCGGTTTCTCCGTGGCATCCCACCAAATTACTCCATTCACACACAGAAGAAGGCAATGGCAAACCACTTCTGGATCATCTGCCAAGAACGTATATGAACAGGTCCCAGTCCGAGAAAAGGATGGAAGGATCCTGTTCATATGGACCTGTCGTCAGACAGAACACTAAATAAATAAATTCAGAAACAGTAACCAGCAATCAACTGTGCTGGTGAACTGTGGTTTTAAATCCGCCCAGCCAAAAAATAAATTATTATGCAGCTGTTCATACATTTGTCATTTAACAATGCTGTCAGTAATTAAGACTATAGAGCACTGAATACTGAAATGACTAATGAATATACAATTTGAAAATACATGAAAGAAAGCGGCCGTGCCCTGAGTTAAGGTTCCATCCCAGAATTTGACAGGACTTCCGAAAAATATGAGAAACCTGAGTCAGGATAGCCGATTCCACCCGGGATCTCCCGAATAATTTATGCACAGCCTTCTAACAAAGAGCCAAACCTATCACGTAAAAAATGCAACCATAGGCTAGTATCGAAAGTGACAGTAGACCCCGTGACAGCGCGAAACGAGAACGCTTGGACAACGCCTTAAAGGCTACCAGAAAGGTAGATAATATTCTGATTACAATTAAACTAAAATATCTATGAATAACTAGATGCGTTGTGATACGAAATACGGAATAGATATATAGCCCAAATTTATTAATTATAGATGAGAAACCAAATGATTTGTACATCTTCAGTATTTGCTTGTAAGATTCGTAAATCGTTTCACAGAGAATGTATGAAACCCAACAGCCATACCTCCAATTACGTATTGCTAGAAAACACAATGAAAGCATTCTGACTGGAAATAACTCGGTTACTACACACGACCAATAAAAAATCTGCAAATGCAAACTGAAAGTTTAAGAGAATGTTGGTGGTTTGCGGCTTAATGAATCATAATGGACCAGCACTCCATATTACCACATTACGTAACTATCAAACAGTCAGGACTTCATGAATGTTTCGATACAAACGTTCTATAATCCAACACTAAACTTTGAAAGAAAGGGACCAACTCCACAGAGTAATCCTTCTTGGAAAGCTGTCAGAAAAAAAGTGGGGGAGATGGCAGAGACAAGAATCTTCTATTGCTGAACTTGATTCGATAATGCAGGTCCTAATTTCCACTCCAAAACACAACACACCGCCCTGATAGATAAATAATACACAAAATCATTCTGCAGAGTTCACACGAACTAATACATCGATAAGTAGCCATTTTGATTCAATTACAAAAACGAGTTTTGAAGACGTCAAATTCCGGAGAATGTACCAGAATTGTTACGCTACGCTACAGTAAACAGACCTGAACACTAATATTTTCGAGGCATTGTATATTGTTTACTGACCTCGCTACCGCCAGATAATGTTATTATTTTGTTCACACAAATAATTCGTGAGATTACAAGGCCGTCAGCCAATATATTTCTTCTTTGGATACAAATTTTGAGAGTAAGGAACAAAAAAAGAAGAAGAAGAAGAAGTAAAGCTGACATGACACTCTTAATACCGATCTGTGGTAAATAATTTAAGTTGGGAGTGTACCTCTGAGGAGTATCAATCTTAAAGTCTTCTGAAATGCTAATATACCGACAATAATCAATGTGCGAAAAAACATAAGATATCTGACAGGGTGAAATGAAATTATTCAGTTCAGTGGGAACTACAATGTTTCAAAGAATCAGAGACGGCGGTTTCTTAACCCACTTTTTTTTATAAGGGTTGAGAAAGTGAAAGTTTAAATAAAACCATGCAAAGTCTGAAAAAGTACCACGGCGCAGACAGCGCTTTTACAAACATTCCACCAGTAAAGAAGTTTGCACTACATTGCGTCATTTCCTGAAATCTACATTACTTTCGGATAAACGACTTAAAATACCTCTCGGACAAAAACAATGAGACAGAAACACTTTTCAATTGGGTCACCTGTCGACACCATCATTAGATTTCGAACACGCGGTACGGCTTGTGCAAGGAACTGCATCTCATTACGAACGTGGAATAAACCCCCAGGTGGAGCTGATAACAGCAAATCCGTTACGTATTCGAGAGTCAGCGGGTACGATACCCTGCCAGTAGTCCAGCTGTCTTACTAAGGTTTCCCTCAGTTCATTCGGGCACAATCTGGGATGAAGCATGCCACGACCGTTTTCCTCGTCCTTCATAAGATATGATTCGTAACTGGTCCCATTCAGAACTGTACAAGCAATCTCCATAGGCAAAAGCGCTCCTCGAGACGCTAACAATTTCTTTAAATATTTTCATTCCATCTGCGAATAGGCCTTCCAAATGTTCAATTTCCTTTCAGTTTTCTGACCAAATGTGTAAACATTTCCCATATTCCCACGCGTATAGTGACTTTAAATATTTATTTTCGACATATAACCGAGTCCATTCATTGTAAGTGGATGAGATATCGACTTAAGTTCTTGTCTAAATTCCCTTATATCCGGCCTTATAAGAACAGAAAGGCGTATGATACCACTAACAACGCCCTTGTGTCTGTTAGCCCAAGAACTTAATGATTATCATGGAACTCAGTATGATCTCATTCCACTACGGATTATACCGCCTCTGTATTTTATAATTTCCTGATACTAACATTAGCATAGCGGCAGTTTATCGACTGCCAGGTTGTGCAGAATCGAATGACAGGGTAACTATGAATGACGAACTGGGGGGAAATGCGGAATAAAGCGACGGTGATGCATTTAAAGTAATATCACAGGATTTTTTCAGGAGGGACTGAGGAAACCCATGATAAAAAGTCCAGACAGGATAGCCGGCTTCCGGGCTGAGGCATCGTACCCGGGACATTCCGACAACGAAGCACGAGTGCTGACGATACAACCGCGTCACTGGGTGTAACAGAGGTATGGCTGGAACTCTGGTTATCACTAAGGGAAAACAGTCGGCCATGCAGCAAAATTCGAACAAACGCCACTTTGCCGGACAAGAAGGCATCCTATCTGACTTAAATAATAATAATTACACAATTGTGGTAGTTTCTTAAGGAGATTTATAAACCGTGTACGGTGTAAAGAACAGGGAGGAATCAAATTTTCTGTTGCCAAAACTGCTTATGCCATGCCACAGAATCTTCCTTGAATATCACATAAATGTCATTTGGTGCTATCCTGAACAAACTTAATCCAATCCAAAGACGTAAAGATTCTTCCCGAATATTCATTTTAAAATTATTATTATTATATCTACAGGTGCACGCCTGTGTCTTTTAAGTGATCTCGTCTCATTCGCCCTTCTGGACAAAAGCGTCTTCTTCATTTTACCCATGTTTGCTACATTTTCCACTCAGATCAACACTGTTCATTAAATACACCGAACAACAAAAGACGAAGAGGTTATTTTACTGAACTCCCCTGTTATGAAATTCAGTCTTCGTGTTATTTTCTGTTTTTTATGTCCAAATATCCTTCTCAAATTTATCACAAAAAGTACTTAACCTAAGAAAGAGGAAGTAACAGGATGATGGAGAAATTACTTTAGCCCAGAGAACAAAGTACTTTTAAAAGCCCTTAGTCGCTCATCTAGCTAATAAATTCTCCATTCACCTGTCACTGCCTCTTTCTTAGATCCAAGTACATTCCTTAGCACTGTGTTCTAAAATAAATAAATAAATAAAATAACCTCAACCTTTTCCTTCGCTTGCAAGAAAGACCAAGTATCACACACACAACAGGTACGATTATAGTTCTGCATAATTTCAACTTTGCGTTTTGAGACAGCAGATTATAAACCGAACGTTAGAAAGATTCTTCTAATTTAACACAGCCTAGATTTCGCACCTTCCTTCTGTCACTTTCCCTCTTCAGTTCACCGTTAAGTATTACACAGTCACAGTTACAGTGTGTGCATTATTCTGTTCCAGTAATGGCGTGACAAAGCGAACTAGTTCTGGAAATCAAGACCTGCCAGACCAGTCATGTCGTCGCCCCCATTAGCGGGGGGGATGGCACCACCCGCAATCAACACGACTGCTCCTGCTATGGCCACTAACATGACTGCCCCAACAATGGCTTCAAACATGAACACGACAATGGCAGTCAACATGACATCTACGGGTATGCCGGCAATGTGTTTTGTGGACAACCTCAATTTTGCAACCGTGTTTATGATCCTCATCAATGCCATTGCCAACAGCCGGCCAAAAAACGCGGGGAGAGCGGCACAACTTCAGGCAACGAACATTACTTACGACTTTGTCATTGTTGGTGGAGGTACAGCCGGATGTGTCTTAGCTAACAGGTAAGACACTTCACAGACGGTAAAAAAGACGCCGTTTCTGTACGAAAAATAACCTACTTTGTGGGCCACGAAGGCCTCATTTCATGTCCTATATTATTCAACAACAATCCCGTTCAGTGCTACAAAATCCGAGCTACTGACAGAGTTGTCAAATAAACCATAAACAATTTCACAATTAAACGAACATCGATAATGAAAAGCCGTCATTCCAAAACAATTTACTGGCATTTTACGTGACAATTTCAGGTTATCCGAGGTAGCCGAATGGAACATTCTACTTCTGGAGGCAGGGGACGAACAACCTTTCGCAGCGGACGTACCATCATTCACGCCTTTCGTACAAGGCAACACCAGTGGTGTGGACTGGAACTACGTCTCTCAACCGGAGACTAAATCCTGTGGTCGCATGGGATGCCCGCTTCCTCGAGGCCGTGTCCTGGGAGGATCAAGCGTTATGAACGGCATGTTATACGTCCGTGGGAATCGTCAGGACTACGACCACTGGGCCGCACTAGGGAACACCGGCTGGAGCTACAACGAAACGCTTCCGTACTTCATTAAATCAGAGAACAACCTTGACCCACAATTCGCAGCTGACACCACTTACCACGGCACCGGAGGTTTCCAGAGCATTCAGACACTCTCTTACCAAGACATAAATGTCAGAGCTCTCATCGCAGCATTCACAGAAATTGGTTACAGGCAGCTTGACTTCAACGGTGCCGAGCAGGAAGGCGTTATGCGTACCCAGACGACGACGCTAAACGGTGAGCGCCAAAGCTCGAACTCGGCGTTCCTGACACCAATCCGACGTGTAAGGCCAAATCTTCGTATTGTCACTAACGCTACAGTAACAAGAATTTTAATTGATGGCATGAAGAGAGCTACTGGCGTCCAGTACGTTTTAGAAGAAGACAGAAACACTACCTTAACCGTTATGGCGAGTAAGGAAGTCATCATCAGTGCCGGAGCAATCAATTCCCCACAGTTACTCTCCCTGTCTGGAGTAGGACCAAGGGAATTTCTTGAACCACTTGGTATCCCAGTCATTCAAGATCTGAGCGTGGGTTACAACCTTCAGGACCACGTCGCTTCTGGAGGCATATATTATACATTGACCGATACTGCTCAGGTAGCAAACCTCAATCAAAGGATGGATCACCTTGTTCAGTATATTCGGGATGGTAAAGGGCCTTTGTCTGGAATCGGTGTCCTTCAAGTCAATGCCTTCGGAAGGTCCCAGTATGCAAGAGCTATGGGCGACTACCCTGATCTTCAATTCACATTCGATTCAGAAGTTGTTATTCGCAACCTTACAACAGGACTTACCAGTCCCTTAACAAGAAACGGAACTGTGCCACCAGGCGAGACATGCGCAGTTGAGCCTATTACTCTGGAACCCTTCTGCTACTATAACCACATCATACCACGTCCGATGGTCCTGAGGCCGCGAAGTCGCGGCCTTGTGAAGCTGAACACAACAAATCCATTCGACCCACCCTTAGTGTACCCAAATTACTTCTCAGAAGCACCAGACATGCATATCCTCATAGAGGGTCTTCTGATAGCGGCAAGACTATCCCAGACCAGTGTGTTACGAAACATGAGGTACTTGCTAGACATCACCCCCGTACCGGGTTGTGAAGCATTGCTTTTTGGTTCATTCGCCTATTGGAACTGTGTTATAGTTCAGACAACTCAGACAATGAACCACCATTCCGGAACTTGTAAGATGGGACCATCATTCGATCGCAGCGCTGTGGTGGATCCTCAGCTCAGGGTTTACGGTATCACAGGTTTGAGAGTAATCGACGCATCCATCATGCCTTACATTGTCAGTGGCAACACGAATGCGCCAACGACTATGATTGCTGAGAAAGGCGCCGATATGATTAAGCAAACCTGGATTCCTATGAACGCAACAGCAGCACCAGCAACAAATGCGACAATGAATGGAACTATGGCACCTGGGAACATGACGATGTCAAATGCTACGACGAGCTCCAACATAACCATGGCGTCCAACGCAATGATAAATTCGAATAGAACTACAATAATAGTGTCCAACACCACAACTAATTCCAACACCACTGTAATATCAAGTATTTCAACAGCAGTCAACGATACAGAAGCATTAAACTCTTCAATGCCCGTCATGGATACAACTTCTTCAGTACCACCAATGCCGACAACGATGGCAACGAAGAGAAGAAGGGAGACAGTCAGACGAAAGACGAGGCCAAAACGGAAACCGACGAGAACTCCCGTATAGCAATCAGCGGATGTGAGGCATGACAAAGACGGATTCTTAACCACGTTTCAAATTAAAACCAATAACGTTCGCCAAGCGTAGTGTAAACGTCCAGTATATGTACCCTGTTCACGTCCTCCGGTTGTAGACGTAACTTGGACTAGAACTTCATGGGTCCGGGATTCATTTTTAATTCTATGTGGTTCATGGTTCTACTCTATAGAAACTTGGGCTTCTCTATATGTTCAGCATCCACCAGACCGAATTTCTCTTACGCAATCTGTCACAAAAATGATAAGATATAATCAGTAATAAATCGATTCAGACCACACATTCTACACATGGCATTAAATTGCAACTTTACACTACTTATGATAATCATATCACATAATTCGAATCCAAGCTCGTAAAGAAATGGTATTTAATCTCTACCATTCTAATTTATCTCTCGAACTTAATGTCGTTCAGCTTGCATGTGCATAACGCATCCGTTAAACAACAGCTCAGCTGCAGTGGTCCGAAGCGGAACAAAGACGCATTAATTTTAAAATATATCGTGAAATTTCTCCAGCTCACTCTAACAAAACCAGTGCGAAAAATGTCAATTCTGGAAGCTGATAACCAGTGAATTAAATAACACTTGGTACGGACCTACTAGATGAGTGAGAATAATCACGGAGCACTATTATCATGTTGTCATATACTTAGCGTTGGGTTCACTTATGTGAAACGTGCGTTGACACAGCCGTCAAACTTTATTCAACAGAGATGAAAAGAAACCTGCAAACATTATCGTCGGCATACATGCAAAAGCGGTGTGTAAACCTACCATTCTGTAAACAAGTGTTTAAAAAGTAATTTAGAATTCAGGGAGCAGGGTAATAAAATAATAATTAAACGCCATCCATGAATGGAGACTTGACTTTCCTTTATAGCAGACAAACAACAAAAAATCACAATGTAACGATCTACCACATCCGAATATCGGATACTTTCAAACTCCCGACACTTGCTAACCGGTCACTGAGATAAACAGACGCCAACGTCTTAAACCTAACATAACCTGTAGGCTTATTTACGCCATGTAAGCAGTTCCTAAGTTGACTAATATTTTTGTAAATTCCAAAACAGTACTTAAAATTAGGCCACAGCCGCTTACTTCCATATCCTTTCCGATACATTATTCATTAATCGTCTCATCATCAAGTTGATCTGCCTTATATGCGTTCACTTCGTGTATTCTGTACATTTCTGTGTGCCATTAACAATTATCTACTATCGCCTCCTCTCATCATTAAAACCAAGAACAAGACTCAGTAATTAGAACCGTAAATGTGCAACTGTTTTTCTTTAGTCACAAGCTACGAACCAAGGTCTGTACATGGCAATATGTAACACGAAAATATTAGTCAAAATGAAGACACTGAGGACGTAGCAAAATATGCAAAAACAGATTTAAGAATGAACACTAAGACAAATAAATAAACAACATATTAAATAGAGTAAATATGTAATCCGAAGATATCAAGAACACCTGTAGCTTTAAAGGAACAGGTCTGAAGACCTGAGCCTTGTTTATGTTCATGAATAAGAAGAAATATGTAATCCACGCTGACACACTTAAAAGAGACAGAAACTGTCCCACTTTCAACTGCTTTGCATGATTTTTATCGAAGTTAACTGAAGCTTGGAGAGGTCACGCTCTATCAAGCATCTGCCCCTCAATCTAGAACTAAAATCGAGTCCAAATCAAATTCGCTTTTGCGGTTTACTGTTAGCTTTATTCTCATAGTTAATTTACATTTAGGTCAGAATTGTCTATATTACACGTCCACGTAACCATAACACATAAAAGAAACCAAAGTGGAAGACAGCTGCTCTTATAACAGAGAATGCAGAAGAAATGTAAAACTCGGAAGGATCAATTTTTTATATATTAGTTTCAATTTTACAATCTCATCAAGAGATAATTCGTGTTCTTCGACTAATAAGGTCATTAAATGAAAACAAAAATTGGGCGTGTTGAGCGTGTAGCACGAAGTTAAAAAGCATCAGTAATATCAATCGTACTCTTTGAAAGGAAGAGACAATCAAGGACAAGAGCCTAGACAGAAATATACTATCAACACAAAAAGTTAAGGGGTGATTATGCAGACAGCATTCAGCTGGCTCATAACAGGGCCCAATGGTTTGATTCTGTGGCCATAACGATGAACATCAGGTTCCATAAAGGTATGAAATTTCTTGACTGGTTGTGTGTATATGGGCTTTTCAGGAAGACTGTACAAATAGTTCATGCTATATTATATTAATATTATATTATTATAATAATATTATATTAATTTGGATATTATTGGACCAGTAACAGAAATAGGGCTATATGAGGTATTAGTTGTGATGTACCATAAAAATATTCCCAAGCCCTTCAAAAAAAAACGCTGCGACTACTTCGTACAAGGAACAGAGATAGATCACAAACGAACAGCATCCATCACGGCTGGAATACTTGCAATTAGCTTAATGGCACTCACCACTGGCTGACCTTTGCTGTTAATTACAGAAAAAAAAACATGTTCACAGAATGGCAGAATTAAATTGTAAAGTCTGCTGTAGACTGCTGCAACGTAATAAAATCAGCAACAGGCCCTAATATCCTTAGGAGACATTCTGTCACTTTCTTATATGTTACATGGTCTTTAAATTTGACAATAAGATAAAGTTATTCGTTGTAAGTGACCCCTGCAGTTCACTGAACAGAAACTAAGAAAAGGTAAGAGTGTGCTTGGAAAATAGTCCTAATAACCGACAACAAGATGATTCGGGACTAGAACTTGGACTTAAAAATGTAGATGGAATGTACAAGATTTATGTCTTTATGAAATTTGATAATTTAATGTTGCAAACAAAATATAACAACCTACTCAACTAGCTGCTAAGAGAACCGCTGCATGTAACATCACTCAGCAAATCAACTACTTCATAATAACTGCTACCCTGCGTCTCCAACAGCATAATACACATTCATCACTCTACTGTAATTGGGTCAAACACAGACATAAAGCAGTTACTCGACACAGCGCAAGTGATAATGCCAGTTCCTTTCACAAACACAGCAAAGCAAGGCTCTCATTCTAAATTCGAGCATCACAGCGTGCCTGCCCGATCTGAACGAACAGATAATTTCGTTTTATATTCTCATACTGCAATGACAGTTTCGATAACTTCAATTAAAGCATCACTTTTACAGGTTTTACTAGTTCCCGTTGTTTCACGCTCTCGTGTGGTGAAAATTTGACAGGCAAGCTGAAGAAAATATCGGCACATCTTTTCTTCTATTTATTCTTTGCTTTAACACGAATATTCATCAATCGATCGTCCGTAAAGAGCGAGATGTTGTATCGCGTGTTTACTGCACCACTCAATAGCCCTCGATCTGTGAATTTCGGCCCTTTGACAGTCTCACACAAAAGAACTGTGTAGCTGTTGGTCACTGACAACTGCAATATAGACCAAAACGGAGTATAAAAGTCTTTCTATACGGGATACACAGAAGAAACGCTCGATTCTTTGGAGGGGATCGTAGAGAAAAGCGTAAGACATTCAAAATAACGGACTTCATGAACAGAAAGCTGTGGACGATTAAAGCTAGTCTCAGAAATACTGCTGCTCTCTGGGAGCAAGTTAACCAACTCACAACTACACTGAAACTTTCAACTTCAATGTACACTACTTGCTCTGCACGAAGCTAGAGACGAAGCAAGTTACCTTCCAGGATTTAGGGTGTCTTGAAGAACGCAGTGCAAGCAGAAATTCCATCCACTCAGTGCCAGCAATCCACTTCTTACCTAAAAGAAGGCAGAATAAAACAATAAAGCATTCTAGTGGATATATACGAGAGACGGTAGATAGATAAGAAGCTAATATTAAAATTCATCTTGCAGAAGTTATAAAATTATGGCTCAGAATAGGATTTTATACGGACAGATATAAAAATCAGATTTCATAACAACGGGACGGTAAACATTGTGGTAAATCCTGTTTTATCAACTCTAACTTTTCTAAGTGACACCTAAACGACAAACTGTTTGAATACTAATTTTTAAGTTAACTTCTTGTATCATCAAAAATACGGGACAAAGATACTAATTTCTCATTCCGAATCTTTCAGGTACATTATGCAAGGAAAGATTCTGAGATATCTGCATAGTGGTTTTTGCTAATAACACATTACATTTCATATCACTAAGCAGCTCACCTCTAAGTCAAGTTTTGTTACAGTACAGTACCACATGAATAGATTATTCAATGTAATATGTTTATTTATAAATATAAATAGGAACGCGTGTCTTTGGTGAAACTGTGAGACAAATAACGTACAAACATATCGCTACTTTCACATGTATTCTAATCATCGTCAGATATATAAAACAGAGTTGCCAAAGGACATGAACGCGTCTGCGACAACCAAGTGGTCAGCGATCGCTGAGAAGTTCAGCGCCTTAACAGATACATTCTACACCAAAGCTGAAGAATGAAAGCAGATCTTACTATGAAGTTACAGGAACCAGAAATAACGCGAGCCACAAAAGTGCAAAAATACGCCTAGTTTCAGTCCTCTGAAGACGCATAGAGCAGGCCTACTGAGATGTCTGTCGACATTTTGAGACGTGAGCACCTCAGATACCATTGCAAAGTTTGTCTCAGCAGTACGTCGAGTTTAAACGTCTCACGTGCAGCCAGCCGTCCAACTAAGAATTAAATGCCTAGTTTCGTGTGTCTGAACCGAAGGGGGTGACTGGAGAGAACTGCATAATGAGGTACTCCGTAATTCGCACCCTTCGCCAGATATTGTTAGAATAATCAAATAGATGGGGATGAGATAGGCCGCACATGCAGCACACACAGGAAATATTAAAAATGCTTATAACATTTTGGTTAGAATACCTGAAGGGAAAGGTCTATTTAGAAGACGCAGAAAATGGGACAATTTTTTAAACGTATCTGAACGTATAAAGGACAGGGAATTTCTGGACCGTCACCATGTCCTGTAACTCCGAATCGGACATAACATTGTTTGTCCGTAATGAAAGACAACGCCAGACTGGGCGGCAACGGTATCTTCAAACACAGTTACACTTCCGTTCACAAACTTTCATGGAATACTTAAATTAAGCAATTTCCTGAAAGCTATCTTATGTACAGAAACCGTCTCGGCTTCACCTCAAAGGGTGGGTGAAACTGCAAGCTTCAAATGTAGGACAAGTGAGAAGATCACAGACCTAGGCTTCAGGATGTTAGATTTTCTAATATTCAAAAGTTCGCAATCAACACACACACTTTCCTCGAAGCAGTCCATACCAATTAAAATGACAAACGCATTTGTAGCGCACAAAGCCTTGAAAACAAATATAATTCGACTTCATTACTGTTTAATCCATGTAAATACGCATGCGTCTGTTTATTTATTTGGTCTAATGTTTAACGTAGCTGACTCAAGTGGTGTTATGCAGCGTCGGGTATGAGGAGAGAAAGTGTAGTCGGTTTGGGGGGACGGCGGAAGAATCGGCCACGGCTTATTTTATCGTCCTACCACACTTTGACGCCTGGAGGTAAAACTACAAGCAACTGACCACAGAAACCAGGCGTTGGGGGTCCAACTGAGTTGGAAACAAGCCTACTAACCACTCCAATCTAGTGCGAATACCTGAACAGGGCCGAATTTGAATCCAAGTGATCGCAAAATGAAACTTAAGAAGAAATATCATTATACGTATAAACGGATCAGTAAATTAGTAATCAACAAAACAGAAAGCTTGTTGAGAAGCTAACAACTGCTCAAGTATGCAAGGAATTCCCCGCCGTGTTCACCACAGCCAGCCACTAAACAGAGAAATTCACTTAAGGATAGCAAATTATGTGCATTACGCGGCCCGGTTATAGCCTGTCTATTTATTTAACTCATTGCTCTCATGCTATTTAAAATGATGCATCATGAGTACACGCGTCGTCAAATGAGATGTCACAACTAAGTACTGTGAATTCTTTGTATGGCGCTGCAGGAAGTGGGTTTCCTTCTTCCGGTGTACTACCCCGTCATTCGCCTCAAAAATCAAGGAACCCCCGAAAAATATCAGCGGGGATCCCGTCCCGTGTTGGAAGCGGTACAGCTAACCTGCTCAGAAACTTTATATATAGGTATACAAATTAAAAGCGGCGTACTGACGAATGGGAAAATGAATTACACATAGAAAAACAAAAGCAATAAAGCTCTGACGTGTGAGTGTACCACAGATCTTCCTTGCCGTGACTGCGATCATGACCGCCTCCTTCCTTATATTTGACCGCGGGAAATTTTACTTTCAAGCTTAACATTTATGAGTTCCGCTAGCCTCCATACCAAGAGAAAAAAGCTCAGTTGTTCTGTATACACAAAGACAGCAGAATCTCACGAAAAACAACATTTCTGTTGAGACCACTCTTCGCAACGCAACATCCCGGAAGGCAGACATCTTCATGCCGTTCCACATTCAATCATCTATTGAAAGCCACACAATGTATGCACTTCAAAAACAGCTTCGTTAACTAAACAGGCTACAAACAAACACAGGGAGGGCCTTGAGTCGCTTGAAAAACTGAAGCAGTATCATTAAACAACCAAAGGAAGATGACCCTTACATTTGGAGGATAAAGATGTTGAACAGGTATTAAACTGTGCGGAAATAAAATATAGTGGATAAATATTTATGCAGCAAGTTAATATAAATTAGTGACAAATTGTAATGAGGTTGCTGATTTTAAACAGACTGGAACATACCCTTACGCTGGCGTACCACTAATTCTAATTTAACATATTAAATGTACCACTAACCACATGCGTTCAGGGAAAACTTACTTATGTTAATATTATCTTTTGATTGTCTTACTTAGTTCGCGTACCACCACTGGTACGCGTACCATAGGTTCATAAACGCTACCATACACAATTATATGTAAAAGTGAAAGTAAAGAGAGTAAAATATAATTGAAAGCAGAGGCGGGGAGAATAGAAATATGAAAAAAATTAATCATATAGCAACGGCATAGCGCTAAAGAAATCACGCAGGACAGCTGTGGACAGCAAAAACCCTATGTTACGTGAACATAGTCTTAGGCCTAGGTATAGATGAACACTACGAACAGACTTACAGCCCCATACACAACTCGTGAATTATAAAATAAGATAAACTTGACAGACATGCCGGAGAAGACTGAGTGCGGCATGTTACGCGGTCCCATAAAGCTTGATTGCCGAACAAGACTAGACCTCTTGGCTGGCTTACCTCTGTTCAGGGAGAAAGAAAACTTTCTCTCCCAATATTCCGTCATAGACCCCACCTTCCTAGTTTTCCCACTCTCATCCCCTACCCTCCCCCCCAACCACGTTACCTCTCTTCCTTCGCCTTAAGATAACAGTACTTTTTCTCTGCTGTTCCCCATTTCTTCGAACAAGGGGCATGGAGGCGAAACTTCGTCGCGTATGCGTAACCAAAACCAAACAGAAGCAGTTTCTATATTACAGTATCAGAGGCCAGTACATTTCGCACATCGAACTTGACTCTGGAGAAAATAAAAAGGACAAAATGCGTGCTGTTAATAACTGAAGGCAGTCAGAGTGGAAAGTGGTATTACGACAGGGAGCAGGAAAAACCGAGGAACACGCCGTCATTCCTACTGCAAGGAACATGTGAGCGAGTGCGCCGAGCAAGGAGAGTGAAATTACTTTATACCTAACACCGCCGTGTTATTGGAGTTATCAAGAATAGAACGTGACATCTGCGTGAAATGCATCTGACCAAGAACATCACGTTACGGAAGAAAACACGAGGTATGAATACGTCAATGTTGATATTTTGGGTTTCAACGCCACGTGTACTTATGGGCTGATTCCAACGTTTCGAAGGAAAACACTGCCTCCACATCTACTCAGAACCCGAGACGGCGTCACAACCCAAAAGACAAACGTCTACATATTCACTGTCGTGAGTAACTTACAAAATATAAAACACAATTACAATTCCTTTAACCTTACAATTTCATAATTCATGCCGATATCGTGTTATAAAATTCACATTAAGAATATTCCAACTCATTTACTTCATAACTAAAACATTAAGACCACAAGATCTATAAACTAATCATTTAAAATCCTATCAAGAATACAAAATTGCAAATTAACTATTGTTCAAATCGTGTTAAAGCATGTCTTCCGTTTCTCAAAAGCAACTATATATATATATATATATATAACTGTCTACACTGAAAAACGAGTACACACATCCATGCCTCGCGTGGAAATCGAACCCCTGATTCCTGTGTGCAAGCAACCAAAACCTACACCTTACATCGCGCGGTCACTGTGTTCAACAACATTTTTATATATTTTCTGTCATGATTCTGCCTATGTACCCTGCAGAACATGTTTTCCATTAACGAATGTAGCAATTCCATATTAGTTCATATAGGCCTGCTTCATTACTTTTAAAAGAATTAGTTTCACGTAAACAACTGAGCAACTACGGGGTTCCCGCCAAGGTGTTACGTGGTACGCCTCACATCACCATGCTTACGACTTTCAGGGGTCATTAGGCTACCAGTGCCATTAAGCAAAGCAAACCCTTGGGGATATATTCCATTGATTTCAGAGCTTTGTTCTGTAAGGCAACATTTTTGTTACGCTGTATTGCATCACGTTATGTAGTACAGTCCAGTTCATATTATTAGATACGGCAAGCTTACGTTTGATAAAACCAACTTTAAACTGGAGTACGTAGCATCTGAAGACGAGCATTATTCTGATTTCCATTCTTTCCTGCCCCCTTCAAAACGATGCATAAATATAGTAACGCGCTTTCAAAAGCTTAAGGTACAACGTATCATCACAGACAGCTCGAACCCTGAAATCCCGGGTTTCAATCCGAGCTTTTCTATGTCGTGTTGTCTTAGAAAAGATTTTTCGATTGGTCGATCCCCAACCTTAGTCCTACCAAAACGATACCGTTTTGAAAGCAGAAATCTGATTGGCATAGGGTTCCAAACACAAACTGAAATTCCGCTGAAATGTAATTAAGTCATAAGAACTGAAAGATGAAATAACTGTAGCTATTGCGAAAAAGATCAAAATACAGATGCAACAATCTGAATGGGCATTCCAGAAGAAACTCAAGAAAGTAATTGTACACGTTTTCTGCCAATTACTTCGTTGCTACGTTAACACACCGCCATTTTCCTATCACCAGCCCATTTCATTATTTCTATCAAGCATAAGCCTATTTACAGACCACAACGTCTTCTCTCCCATGAACATCAACAGTGACGGTGATAAGTAAAACGAAATTTAATTTAAGAAGCAAACAATAAATATGAATTTATTAGTCTACCTGTCAATTTCGTACAGAAAACGAGACGCGATAACAGAGACATATCACTTCCCAATCTTACCTTAACTACCGTTGTTTTATCACTCTCTTGGCTTAGTTACGACCTATTCTATCCACGAAGTTATTATCGACTACTTCATTATGTAAAACCGTAATTAAAAGAGCAGGAAGTAGACAATACAAAGGAATTGCATCGGAATGTGGGCCCAATCAGTGTTAACCGCGAGTTGCAAGTTCTGTCTGTAAAGGAGGAAAATCAAATGTGTGAGTCTGGTCCAGGACAGAAACTGGAACACATCACCTTAATTCTATCCACGAACCCTATCACCCTCACGAAACGTAACAAAAGTTCCAAACCAAAGTAAACTGATATTTTTTTCTCCGTTTAAGAGTGTCTCCAATGAACTTTCGTCGATGACCGCTTCTATAATCTTGGACAGACGACTGACTGGCTGACAACCTGCTCCATTTCACGTTCGAACTGAAGCACAATCAGCAACCGGATGGCCTGTCTATAAGATAACAACAGGGTCCGTCAGCATAGCGCACGATTTCTCCCAGACACGCCCGAACGATCGTGAAAGTATTCGCTACTCGTAATTTAGATTGTGCGTGGCGAACATAACGCAGATTACACAACGAACGAATCAGGTATGTTAACCAATCCGACACACAACGCACTGTACGGCTGTACAAGAAGTGTTTACAGCACTGTAATTTAAAACCAACTATATAAATTATTCATGTAATTATGCCATCATTTATGTATGCAAAGAAGAAACAATTACTTAATTGCAGGCAACAGTACGTCTTCAAAACTTGGCAGTCGCTCAGATTGTGAATGAATTCCAGGCCTTTGATAAAATCTAAAGGTCCATTACCCTGTGCCCCGCTACTGGACCCTGTCCTGAATCAGCTGAATCAGGTTTATGTCCTCACGTACACTTCCCTAGATCCCTTTAACTAAAATGTTGTAACCATTTTATATTTCAATGCGTGCTGCAAGTCCCGCCCGTCTCGCCTCCCTTCATTTTATCACCCTAATACTATAGTCAGTGTAGTTTACATATGAAAGATTAGAAATTAGTACAAAACGTTGAGTAAAAACCCTGAATGGAATGAACCACTCGGAAGAACTAGGCTTAGATTGAAGGATAATATTAAAATGGCTCTTGCGAACGGCGTAACGAACTTTCCGGTGCCATAAAAGACGTGAAACGTCTTGATTAGCTGAACGTGCTATCAACTTCTCTAGACAAATTCTGTTCCATGAAGTTTGTTCAAGACAGAGCAAACGGAAGTACTAATGGTTATTTGAAATACCATCGTTTAAAACGAAAATCTTTTCTAGTTTGATTGGCTCATGTACTGACATTGTGGTCATTAAATTTAGACAATTACTGCTCTGTATTAAACAAAATAAAACCAGTCAGGAAGACAAAATAAACATATAGCAATTTTCAGCTCAGTATAATGACCGGGACCAATTCCTAGCAGAGGCAAAATGTATTTTGTTTAACCTCCACGTCCAGATCGGCCATGGAACTCACCCAGTCTCCTATCCAATGGTTGCCGGAGGCCTTTCCTCGGAGACAAAGTGGCTAGGGGTTGAAGCTCACCATCTCCATCTAGTGCCGAGGTCAAGAAAAAGTACCCCACACGTCTCCAGGACGTGATGTTTAATAAGTACAAGGGACACCTTTACCTCAAATCCATTCAAACTGAAACGTATTTCCGTGATAAAGTATTTTTATTAAACATTTTATATGATCTTTTGAGCTTTTCCAATTCGAGATAAATACGTAGTCTTCTGTAATTTTAGGCAATTTTAAACAATATTTTTACCATATGTAATTAGTGCATATATTCAGAAACGTTACATGTGTTTTCCTATTCTTTATTTTAAAGGCCTCTTCATGGTCCCCCTGAACAACACAGTTACACAACGTCCTTCGTTTAACGGTGCTGCTAGCAGGAAGCTGAACTGCGATTAGCAGTGAAGTCAAAAATCTGCTGGTTCAACATCACTCACAAACAACTTAAGTGGCTGTATACACAAAGCGTAACAAGCCCGTGTGACATTTTTAAAATTGTGTTTGTCACTGAAGTTATTCAAGAGTTGACGGCGACACAATTCAACGGTTACTTCCGTGTTCTCAACGACTGTGCGTTCCTGATAAGTGCCAGATAGTAATATACATGCTGCAGACTTCTCTTTCTCCACAATCTTACATCAAAGTCACAACAAACTTTCTTCAGAGTTACCCCCACCTTTTCCTAACCACAAAGTTCACACACGCTATTTTCGTAACGATTTATTCTTCGCGGACATCACATGGAACGGCGTTGTGCAATAATCACTGATTCCATTCACGGTTAGGGTGGGCTTCGACTATCCAGCATTGACAGGGGAAGAAAATGTTTAATGTGGTGTAATTTTACAATGGCAGCACGATGAAAGGCAATGATGCTCATCTGTTCTCTAGACTTAACAACGTCTATGTCTTGTCGCCGAGGATGGAATGTTGCGTAATGTAATGGATACAGTTACAATTTGTAATGTCTTGTGCATGTGAAGTTTGTGAGAATCTTCCTAAATTTCGTTTACATCTCAAATGAATAATAATACCCTTTCATCGGACTGAATAGTATTTATATAATTGACCTAGGTTAAGTTAACGAACATAAATAATTTAATACATTACATCAGTACACTATTCGAGAAACGATAACAATGATACACACTGTTCAGTGACCGGGTGTTGGTGAGCGCGTAAACACAACAAATGCCAGGATGAGTTTGGTCACCATAGTAACTGGGGCCATCAAGGCGGCGACCAATATCATAGGCGTCGGAACTAAACTCTGGTTTTTACCCACATTCCTGGCAGCCTTCGCGTACTTTCATTATGATCTCTTTGATCCAGAGAATAGGCCAATAAATATCAAGGACGTCCGTCCGAACTACGACTTCATAGTGATCGGTGGTGGCACTGCAGGCGCCGTCATGGCTAACCGCCTCACAGAGGTGAAAGACTGGAACGTGCTCCTCCTAGAAGCTGGAGGTGACGAGCCCGAAATAGCCGATGTTCCTATCCTCTCTATATATCTACACAAAAGTAAACTAGACTGGAAATACAGAACCCAGCCTCAAGACTCGGCGTGTCAAGCTATGGAGGACAAGCGATGTTGCTGGACGAGAGGTAAGGTCCTCGGAGGCTCCAGCGTGCTCAACACCATGCTCTATATCCGCGGTAATAGGCGAGACTTCGACCTGTGGGAGAGTTTAGGGAACCCTGGCTGGGGGTATGAAGACATACTGCCATATTTCAAGAAGTCTGAAGACCAAAGGAACCCATACCTAGCCAACAACACGAAGTATCATGGAATTGGGGGGTATCTGACAGTTCAAGACGCGCCCTGGAACACACCTCTTGGCATTGCGCTCGTGCAAGCTGGGGTAGAGATGGGGTATGAACACAGGGACATCAACGGTGAGAAACAAACAGGATTCTCTTTATTTCAGTATAATATGAGGCGTGGATATCGCTGCAGCAGTGCCAAAGCATTTCTACGCCCCGTACGTCTAAGGGAAAATCTCCATATTGCTATGTGGAGCCATGTAACAAAAGTGCTCATAGACCCCGATACAAAACGTGCTTTCGCAGTAGAATTCATCCGCGGAGGAAAGAAGCAAATAGTACATGCTAGCAGAGAAGTAATTCTATCAGCGGGGGCCATTGGCACACCGCACCTACTCATGCTGTCGGGGATAGGACCCGCAGAACACCTTCAGGAAAAGAAAATACCGGTAATTCATAACGCGCCGGGTGTTGGACAAAATCTACAGGACCACATTGCCATAGGAGGAATCGCGTTCGAGATTGACTATCCGGTCAGTGTTATCATAGACCGCCTTGTCAACGTAAACGCTGCTATGCGTTATGCAGTGAGAGGAGATGGCCCGCTAACTACCAACATCGGCATTGAAACTGTCGGCTTCATCTCAACCAAATACGCCAACCAGTCAGACGACTGGCCTGACATAGAGTTCATGATGACCGCAAGCACAACGTCTTCAGATGGAGGCACACAAACACGAAAGGCTCACTGCATAACCCAAGAGTTCTATGACGAATACTTCGGACCAATCAACAAGAAAGATACCTTTGGTATATTCCCCATGATACTAAGGCCGAAGAGTATTGGATATATGAAACTACGAACCAACGATCCAATGGATTATCCTCTACTCTACCATAATTATTTGACACATCCCGATGACGTAAGGGTAATGAGAGAAGGAGTTAAAGCGGCAGTTGCAGTGGGAGAAACTGCTTCAATGAAGAGATTCGGCGCAAGGTTTTATCGAAAAGCAGTTCCTGGTTGTACAAGCCATGATCTGTTCACGGACGAATATTGGGAGTGTGTAATACGGTACTATACGATGACCATTTATCACATGTCCGGAACGGCCAAAATGGGACCAGCAGAAGACCCGTCTGCAGTTGTTGATCATGAACTAAAAGTCCACGGCATTCAAGGTTTGAGAATAATAGACGCATCCATTATGCCCACTATTACCAGCGGAAACATAAACGCCCCCGTGTACATGATTGCCGAAAAGGGCGCAGATATGGTAAAGAAATTGTGGCAACCGAAAAAAGAGAAACGGAAGAGAAGATATGTTACTGCAAACAAAAGAAGTCACAGTTCGAAGACACAAAATAAATAGTGAGAATTACAGCAGAAGTTACTGCACTCCATTGCTCATTAGATAGCTGTTAACACGTAATATACAGAAATTATCATATTATTAAGCATAAAACTATGGGAATGTCACTCGCCTGCCCAATGTGTGTCATGTTTCCGCCGAAATTCAATAGTGTGGACCAAGCTGTGTTGGCATCATGTTGCCTCCGTTTATGTAACCTATACTAAGAGCAGTCTACAGTAATTTCACTTTTAAACTGTGCTATATACGACAGCGAAAAATGTGATATCAATATTTGTAACAGTAAATTGTCTTCAGGAGTTTCACCAAATGTCCAAGATTTAAAAACAATGTTATTATTTTTAAAACAGAAACGTTCAACAAAATACATTACGTTATGTTTGTGATATTGGCCGCTGACTGAAAAACATATAAGTCAACAAAATCTATGCCAAAAATTACGTAGCAGTATCGAATAGCGTGTGCCCATAACTTAAAATTAAATGCAGGCCAATGCAGTCAGACGTTATTTAAAGTAAGTTGGTTACATGCTGTAAAAAATTAAAAGATGCTATTATTTACAATAAACTACGATTCTTAAGTTCTGTTCTGTTCTATTCTCGAACAAGAAAGAGTGACGACAAAAGAGAAACTTGTGCGATACGCCCGTTTTGTGTAACCTGATCAACTTCGAGTATGTTTTGATGTAAAGCAGGTTTTATGTCTGATCTACACAGACCAAAATTACTCAGCCGAACAACATTCAGATCGAAGTGCAGATCTTTTAAAACCTGCCTCTCAACGATCGTAAATAGTTAACAGCTATGAAAACAACTGCCACTCACTTGCCGCTAAGGACGAATAAACCTGCCATTCGGTGTTTCGCATGTGGAAAAGATGCGATACTTCACCGCAGGAAAAAGACTGTAAAGGGAAACCTGACGAATATAAGCTGTTTCAATGCAATAAAAAACTGTTAAACAACTCTCAACCGGAGTTTCTTTCATCGCGTCACTACATAAAAACCTGACAAATGCAACCCATTTAATTAACGTACGGAGCAACTACTGGAGTTATGATGCTTTTTGCTTCGCCAGTGTGTCGAAATGGATATTTTAAATACGGAAATAATGTTTCTATACATGTTCCTAGTTTGGATTAAAAGGAAATGACACACTAAACAGTTATCAAAACTTAATAGTGTGTAACGTTATTTATTCCTGATTTCCTT